GTTGTGACGCAGTCATGTGTTATTTCAAAATCTGGAATTGGCACCAGTGTAGCTGGGTTTAGGGGGGGGGACCGTTTAAGAGTGATGTGTGGACTTGAAAGAATTACCGCTTCATAACCAGATCGCCTTGCTGCCGTCATATGCTGAGTAGCAGAGGTGTTCAGAATATGCAAAACTGCATGTGGGACATGTACTACACAGTCACTGGCCAGTACAATGGGAGAGGATTGTTTTACAACTATCGCAACTGCGGCTACAGCCCGCAGGCATGAAGGCATACCAAGCACCACAGGGGAGAGTCGAGATGAGTAGTATGCAACAGGCCGGAAATTAGAGCCATGCTTCTGCACCAAGATGCCCGTTGCAAAGCCCCCCTTCTCATGGACGTGTAGATGAAAAGGTTGATGGTAGTCAGGGAGCCCCAGGGCAGGAGCAGATTAGAGGGCCTGCTTTAAGTCCTGAAAAGCTGTGTGCATGTCCTCAGACCATTGAACAATGTTAGGGGCAGCCTGCAGAGTGGCAGCACGCAGGACGGAGTCCATAGCAGCGTAGTCGTATATCCAATGTCTGCAGTAGTTTGCCATGCCCAAGAAAGAAAGCATTTCCTTCTTTGTGCGAGGTGGTGGTACTTTGTTCAACAGGCAAATCCTTGCTGGAGAGAGGAGGCGGTGTCCATCCCTCAGAATGTGACCCAGATACGTGACCTCAGTCTGGCAGTACTGCAACTTAGCCAGGGATGCTCTGTGCCCGCATTCAGAAAGTCTTTTCATGAGCAGAATGGAGTCGATGCGACAGGCGTCCATGTTGGGAGAAGCTAACAACAGGTCATCTGCGTACTGAAGCAAGGTACTACCTCCTGTCAGGACCAAAGTGTCCAGATCTCTCTTAACAGCTGCTTACACAGTAGGCGATTCAACAAACCCCTGTGGGAGGCGCGTGTATGTGATTTGTTTACCTTTAAAAGTAAATGCAAACAGATACTGGCTGTCTGGATGCAGAGGAACAGAGAAAAACGCTGAACACAGGTCAATCACTGTGTAGTACTTAGAGTCTGGGGGCAGAGAAGCAAGGATCGAATTAGTGTCAGGCACTATAGGAGCTGTCGGAATGACAATAGCGTTAATAGCTTGCAAATCTTGGACAAAGCGCCACTCATCAGGGCGATTGTGCTTAGGTATGGGTAGAATTGGAGTATTACACGGGCTGGTTGTATAGATTAACATGCCCTGATCGAGCAGAGATTGGATGACTCCTTCAATTCCCAAAATGGCTCTATGGGGTAAATTGTACTGTCTGATAGCTGGCAATCTGGCGTTGGCTTTAAGTGTCACTCTGTGTGGAGGAGCTGAACTAACAAATCCCACATGATTCTTGTGCTTGGCCCATAATGTAGCTGGAACCTCAGAGAAGTCCGAAGGGGGTCCATATTCTGTGACAGCAGGTGGTTGTAAATGGAGGAATGTGCTTTGGGGGAGAGAAATGGGCTCAGAGAAACGCAGCATGTCATGCTCCTCTCCAAGGCTGATTAGATTAGGTGTGTGTGTGTGAGGGAGAGAAGCTGTTGCACCTGTAATTTACAAAGTAAGTCTCTGCCCATTAAATTAATAGGACTTCCATCTGAAATAATGAAAGAGTGTTGCACATTTGACCCATCGATTGAAACATTAGTACTCTCTGAAATGGGCTCGGACTTAGGAATGCCAGAAACGCCCATTGTTGTAACAAAATCATTAGTTGCTTCACAGACTTTCTCCTTAGTACGTACTGCAGACAAGGTGGCTCCGCTGTCAATCAAAATATCTACAGCCGTACCACTAAAATCAACGGGCATAATCGGATCTTCACGCAGGTTATTGGAAAGGCGAATTGTTGCTGCTTGAATGGGGAAATGCTGTGAATCTGATCCTATTTCTCCATGGCACCCCTATCTTCTATTAAATCCACTTTGCTGACCGTTTTGCCATGTTGAGCCTGTCTGTCATAACGTGGGGGCGGCAATAATGCGGGATGGCTGGGGGAGAGCAGGCAAGGATTGTGTGTTCTGCTGAGCTCCCCACCGCTTATCACACTGCCCCGCCCAGTGGTCCGTTGCTCCGCAAACATGACTGGCATCAACTTTTTGGAATTTTTATTCTGCTGCTGTCTGCTCTTGTCTTGATAATCCTGTGATCTTCCCTGATTTTGATACTGCTGAGTGCGGTTTTGTCCCTGAAACTGTTGTGTGTTATCTGCACTCTGATAAGCTTGTGTATTTTGAGGCAATTGTTGCAGCAGCTGGGCATTTCTGGGGGTCAGAAATATCTGGCTCCTATGCAGGGCACGCATTGTGGCGATCGTGAGTGTCCAGGTTTGAACTTGCCAGTCAGGAGTCGCCATCATGTAGGCTTGAGCTGTCTCTGGGATTAAGTTATGTAACAAGCTCTGTATGGCGAACAAATCATTGCCCTCCCTTTTTAATGCCCGCATTATTATCCCACACTGTCATGAAACACTGGATACATTCTGGGACAGTTTCTGTTGGGCTTTGTACGCAAGCCATCACTTGGGAAAAATCTGTGTGAGTCTTAGCGCATGCTCTAATAGCCAAAGCAGCGACGTTCTGAATCCACATGTCGCGCGTCTGTGCCAGAGGCCAATCACCTGCAGGCGTACACTCAGGAAATGTAAACTTGTCTCTGTACGTGGACCAATCTGCCTTGTATGTTAAGATTATCAGCTGTTTAACATCATGAACCAAACAGTTATAAACTGAGCAGACATTAGTCAACCATGACAGATACTCATCTGGGCTTTTAGTGGGACTGGGGGCGTGATTAGTGACATCAATGACCTCAGCGGGTGTCCATGGCTTAAAAACTGGAACCTCTCCTATCAGAATTTTCGGGCGGTCACAGTTTCAGCAGAATTATTATTCTGAGATGTTTGCATTCTCGTGATCATTGTACGCTGGACAGTCTTTGGAAAACTGCGTCCCTGGGTAATCGTGTAAACGGAGTGGCGGAGGACGAGGAGGGGGGTTTTGTAACAGGCTGCTGTCTGAAGAATCCCCTTCACCCTCCGCTGCACTCTGCTCCTGCTGCTCCAAATCTATTTGTCTATAATGTTCTGACTGATATCTCAACCTATTTTCATTCATGATAGCTGCAGCTGTCATTAACAGATCATCATCGGAGTTTCTCGCAACAGGATTTGAGAGTTCTGTCGCGGGAATTATTTTCGTACAGAGAGATACAGCCTGCTTTTCCTCCAGCAGCCCAGCGTCTGTTAAAATGCAAATGAGCTGAGACGGGCTGGGAGACTTCCCTTGTCTTTTCAACCAATCGTACATCACTGACTTAGCAATGGCTGCAACATCCTTTCCGTGTCTTTCCTTAATTCTGGACATGTTCTCTGATTTAACATCAAAAGCAGCCTCTAGGCTAAGCAAATGACAACTCGCCGCACATTTAGAAACCCTAACAATCAACGCTTTGAGCTCAATGGAGCCTCGCTCGGCGTCAACTGATTTTTCATTCTTTCGCTCATTATATCCTCTTTTCTCTGCAATAGTCATCCAAGCTTTAACACATTCTTTCATGTATCCCATATCCCATGAGCAATTCGGATCATTTTCAACAAGTTTGAATGCCTGCCACAACACGCCCATGTGAAAAGTACCGGTTAAAGGCCAATCAAATTGAATCTTCCCTTTCTGATTATTCTGTTGTGAGTGTTCACAAAGTAACGAGGTAAACGGCATAACTTTAGACCAATCCAAGCTTCTTCCGACAATTCCAGACGGCATATTAGGGGAAAACATGTGAGTGTAGTGGCTGTTTGCAATTGGATTTTTAGAAAGTGTCTTTGTACGTGAATTAGTTTTCCTCTTACCAACTGAATCGTTTGTGGAGGCAGTATTACCCATGTTTAACGGTTAGTACAATAAAACAAACACTGCAATTAGACAAACAAACATGAACTCGCAACAAACATCAGCGTGACAGCAAAGCTCATCCAACTTAATTGAATCCGAATATAGAGAGGTCTCAGAGGGGGTAGGGAAAGGGGACCTCTTGACCTGTGTCCTTCTCACATTACAGGCAGGAGCATATGCGACTTAACGAAAAGCATATGTTTGTAAATTAACAGTTTCTCAGAATAGCTGAGAACCTCAAGACACAAAGAGATCGGATTAAAATATTCTCTGACAAATGCAAATGTGGATGTTTATCGGTATGCATTTTAGGCAAGGGTCATGTAATTTACTGTGCTGGATTAGAATTGTGTGCAATTGCCATCCAGAGTGGGGGTAGTGTTATGACATTAGGGTCATGCAAAGTGAGATCGCTATCCCTTTAAGAGAGGGATGTGGGTATGGGAGAGCGAGAGTGAGCGAGCGAGCGGGGTATATGTTTTCTGGAAGGGAAACGAGGCAGCAGAAAAAGCTTAGGTCTGTGATTTATCTTGTGAAACAGAAGAACTAAATAAATGCAACGACCTCCCAAGAAGAGCTCGCCTCTCTCCAGTCATTTGATAAAGTGGGTTATTGAACCCGAAGCGTGTTGCTTCTGCCCTGGAAGACGACAGAGTCATCCCCCCTGTCTCCTCGACTACGCTCTGGGAGCCGACAGGAAAGTTCAACAGGGATAAAAAGAGATATCCAAAATCCCTTCTCTAAAAACGTCAGATTCTAATATGACTACAAAATGAAACAAGCATGTCGAACCTGACTTTATCCAATGCTCAGAATTGTGTTCCTGAAATGTATACAATATGCGCATATTTAACGAGATGATGGCTCATTTGCATGGGGGGGGTAATAATAAGCGAAATTCCAGTAATCTACTAGTGATAAATGCATGGATAACAGTTTTCAGACTTTTGGGGGTTGGAAATGGTCTGATTTTTTGTAATGTTCCTTAGAGGATGAAATCATTATCAATCCACTGATTTGACATGTCTATCTAAGTAATCAGGTTTGTTGTTAACTGATTATTGCTTCCTGTGGCTCGCTCTCTCAGCAGGGGGTGGACGAGGACGAGGACAAAAGGTATCCCACTCTGCCGCTCGTCGACTCTCAGGCTCAGCACCTCATCCAGAAACGGATCGCAGTGGAGAAGCTCAGCAGCTGGTGTGTGTTCAGAGGATCTTCTGAATCTTTTTAAGCTCTGTGCATTACAATTGTGTTTGCTGCAAAGGAGGGATTGGGATTGTTTAGTCTGTTTTTTGTCGGTCAGCAGGATAACCTAAAAAATGACAGCCTGATTTGAATTTCATTTCAAACCTTTTATTTATGCAGGTGAATCCCATTGAGATCATTGATCTCTTTTTCAAGGGTGACCTGAATTAAACTTGGTAAAGGGTTTTAGTATGGCCAGGGGAACCCATTAAATAATAATATCTGGATCACAGGTCGAATCACTTTCAATGTTGTTATACAGCGATATTCATATGGTCTTATAAATAATATGTTACTGACTGGGAAAAATATCGAAATAAGAAATGATCAGGACCAGCTATCCGCGGTTGTTTAACGCTTACTTTTTAGCATCCATGTTGTTTCTACATAACGACTTAAAGCTCATTAGTTATCAAGTTGCTGGACTGTGGAAGTTTCATTCACTTTTACAGGACTATGTATTAGTTGTATAGATATGATGCAGAGTTTCTGTCTTTGTGCCTCATCTTTGTGTCTGTGCTGTGTTGCAGCCTCAGAAACATCGTTGGTTCTCTGCAGCTCACCATGAGTGACGTCTCCAGCGCCCTGAACAACCTGGTCAAGACCTTCAGGTCAGTGCAGCACACAGATACACTGAGCACCCAGGATCATCTTAGCATGCTGAAGAGGCCTGAAATCTGTCACAAACATGTATTTGTAACATCTCGAAAAAGGCATAAATAATATATTCACATTAAGGAACAGTACAACAATCTGCATGCATCACAATGAACAAATACCACATGCTTTATTCATGAAATTGATATGTACTTTATAGAGGCCCCATTTGTAAAGTAGGCCTACACCACATCATCAGATGATATACTTCATTTGATATATGATTTATCTTAATTGAGACTGTTTTTATGATCCAAGTATTGCAACATTTTGCTTAATATAAATACAAACATTTCTGTGTTATTCCCTTTTTGGTGTAAAGCCAGAGAAAACTCATTTGTATGCAAGTGTTATCTGTAAACCTTTGGAACAGTCTGCTAGCAGAAAACAAAGATGGCAATCCATCTCCCTGAGAGCACTGTAATATTCCTAGAGAAACCACAGCTTATAGAGAGGTGAAGTCCCGCCCATCTACTTCTGACCCATGGGACCTTATTTAGGAAAAAGCATGTATTGAAGTCAATGGAGAGAGAAAGATCATCTTTCGATCCCGTTTGAATTGTGCCATGAATTACACATATGATGTTTGTCAATCTTAAAAAATTATTTCCATGTCAAAAAAGTCACAGTTTGTCGTAAAACTGTTGAAATATAAGACTATGAAAAATACGCAACTAGAAAGACTACAAATCCCAGAATCCCGGTCCCGCATGCTGGCTCTTACGGAACCGACTAACTCCCCTTGTGTGTATGCACAGCTCTCAACGTGCCCAGACTTGGAGTGATTTTCTCCTCTTTTAATACTTTTCGCCTCATTCTGAAAGAAAGAAGTGAAATGTTCCAACGTGACGGCCGTCTTGGTGTGTGGTGCGAGACGGGAGATGTAGTTCATTGAGCGGTTTCACACAAAAAAAAGTGTTACTTCACAGTTTTACAACACATTTTTATTTTTTTGAGTTGAAAATTATCTTTTAAATTGACAAACATCATATGTGTAATTCGTGGCACAATTCAAACGGGGTCGAAAGATAATCTTTCTCTCCCCATTGACTTCAATACATACTTTTTCAGAAATAAGGTCCCATGGAGCTCCACCGGAAGGGGAGGGACTTCGCCACTCTATGGGAGTTTGTTTAAAGGTCCCATGTCATGCTTTTCCGGTTATTACCCGTCCCCTTGTGTGTTATGAAGGTTTTTCTGCATGTAAATGGTGTGCAGAGTCACAAACCCTCAAAGTACGCGCTGTAGCGAGAACAACTCTAAAACAGAAAATATTTGAACATTTGATTCTTCCGGGTACGCATGATGTCATCCGTACCCGGAACGAAATGGACCAATCCGTGGAGCCGTTACGAACGTCCGCGGAGCCGTTACGTTAAGCCCCCGCTGATTGGTCCAAATTGACCAATCCACGGACTTCCTCACACACTCAGTGCAGGCAGCTCTGCTGATGTCTCCTCCCTGGCTGCAGGCTGATAACAGACAGTTGGGATCGCGGCGAAATTCTCTCTGCAGACCCATTCTCTCTGCAGACCCATTCTCACAGCGTTTATCAACCTTTTTCTTACTCAATATCAAGCCACACTTATTGTTTTTACTTCGGCTGTGACTTTGTGTGCTCAGGGTGAGTTTCGCTGTGTTTCGCTAAACAAGGAAATCACACCTCCACGGAGCTCAGCGCGATTCACAACGTCCCGACGGGTCCCGACCAATCGGAGCACACTGGGCTCACAGGGAGGGGGGGGCAAGAGCTGCAACGAGCCGTTTAGTGGAGAGAGTGAATACACGTACTTTACAGAGATGCTGTATGCGAAACCAATGTGAGTTTGGAACATTGCACAGTATAAATCTATTCTAGTAAACCTCAACAATGGAATTATGATCAGTGGAAATGGCCATGACATGGGACCTTTAAATCCCTCAACATTGTTGAGAACTGTGAAAAGGACCTGTGGTGCCCCCTACAGGTAGCATGAAAAATAACAGAAGGCCCTCTTATAGAATTGTTTGAAGCACAGCTGTAGTTAGTTACATACATTATTTATCAATGTTTATATATTCTCTTTAGTTGTTTTCTTTCCAGATTCCTCATATTGTGCATTTTGGCTTACTGGGAAACGTGATTGTTACAGAGCCGTAATGTATGATACTAAATACAGCTGTGCTTTCCCTTACAATGAAAAATCATAATGTCTACTTAAAAAAAATAACATGTCACGCTTCAGGATTTATTGACAAGGCCTTTTGGAGAGTGCATTTCTATCATATGAAATAGATGTATCGGCTTGCCGTACTATTGTCCTGTGTTATCATAACAATTTAAGCTCTGTCAAGAAGCTACAAAAAAACCACACTGGCCTGATCTACTTGATATAGTACCAGATGGATGCGGAAGCATTTAGAAAACACACACTCTGTGTTAAATGTCGTTAAATACACTTCAAACAGTATTGATATGTTCTATACCACTTCAGGCTTCTTCAGCTCAGGTGAAATATGGTTAGACCTAAGCTGGAATAACATGAATTCACCACATTTCATAAATCAATTATTTGTATTATCCACAGCTTTCATTTGGAATTGTCACTGCAGGTAAAGCAAAGGTGGTTAATAACAAAGCTTAGGGTATATTTATATTTCAATCTAAATAATGATCGAAAGTGAACAAGCACACTTTAATTGAAGACGCTAAATTAGATTAACATATTATCAATTTCCTTACGTGCAATTTTAATTTCCTACTGTGATACTACAGAATGCTTTCAATACAAAAGGCCTGTAAAAGTGATATATTCATTAGAAGGGATTTCATTAGACAAATGAGTAGATCCGTGTGAGTGGACCAAAGTCTTTCTTTCCTGCCCTTTGTTATTGTTTGGGTTGTATTCAAAACCTTATAGCATGTATATATGGCATTGGTTATATAAATGCTGTTAGGGCTCCACAATAAATCCATGTTTCCACTCAATAATGTATTTACTGTACAATATTTGTGTAAATGTTTTCGGTTCAGATCAATGTTCCATTTCTTCAACTATAAAAAATGGCAAATCTTTTCCTTTCCTTTGACTTAATTGAACAAGTAATCTGTTCACACAGTATATGGAAAGCAACAGATGGGCACTTAACTACACATACGCTTTAATATATATTATATATTTCAAGTAATATATGTATATTCAACATTATTGCATATTTCCCTTATATCAAGCAGCCTCAATAGAAATGGCATTTCTATTTTCCTTGCCCAGTATTAGTCAGTATGGCGGTTCATTAAAACTCTCCCCAGAATTGAACACTTCCTGCCATAGAAGCACTCTGCGTTCCTATTGGCTGTTCAGCATGTTTTCAACAGGAGAGCTATTAAATCACTGTGCAGAGAGTGAACCTCCAGAGTCCTGCTTCCAGGAATTCTCCTTTCTGCTGCCAGAGGCCCCGCTGACAAGAGGCTAACCCAGAGGAAATACACAGCGCTGTCACACACACACACACATCACAGCTCTATTACAGGCAGTGTGTGTGGCGCTGCTGCAGCCTGGTGCACATTTTGTTTCCCTGTTCTACTTATCGTCCCAATCGGGTGATTTTTGACGCCTGCCTAGAAAGGTTGCTAGAGTTATGTGTGTGTTAACACAGATCCTGAGGTTAGATATGTGTAACATATACACAAGTGACCTTACGGGACATAAATCTCTATGTTTGACTTCTGCTTGTTTTGTCTTAACACCGCAGGTTCACCAACAAAAACATCATCCACAAAACTCCAGAGTGGACCCTCATAGCCGTCATACTTCTCCATCTGTAAGTTGTGTGTGTGTGTGTGTGTGTGTGTGTGTGTGTGTGTGTGTGTGTGTGTGTGTGTGTGTGTGTGTGTGTGTGTGTGTGTGTGTGTGTGTGTGTGTGTGTGTGTGTGTGTGTGTGTGTGTGTGTGTGTGTGTGTGTGTGTGTGTGTGTGTGTGTGTGTGTGTGTGTGTGTGTGTGTGTGTGTGTGTGTGTGTGTGTGTGTGTGTGTGTGTGTGTGTGTGTGTGTGTGTTGTGTGTGTGTGTGTGTGTGTGTGTGTGTGTGTGTGTGTGTGTGTGTGTGTGTGTGTGTGTGTGTGTGTGTGTGTGTGTGTTGGTCTCCATTACAGGCAATCAAAAGAAACAGAGAAATGTGTCCTTTTTATCAAGGTAACTTAGTTTGAACATTATAATAGTCATTTTAATATTGAAATGTTACCTTATACATATTGATGCTCAAACCAAAGCTTCTAATCTTCATTCAAAGGAAACTGTCCCAACTGTGACTGTGATTCTCTTCCAGCCTCAGAGCTTCATGGGGCTTTTGTCGAGACACTTTATGGTGTGGAATTATTTTTGCCCGTGCCATATGGTCATTGTGATTGCGCATGTGTGTGTATGTGAATGTGTGTGTGTTGCTGGCAGTTCATGGACAGTTCCGTGCTGCTCCCTCCTGAGTACACACAGACGCCTCATGGCCTTATCTCCACCTGATTGCCCCCCCTCCAGATCCGTGATCCAGGAGAGAAAGCACACACACAGAGAAGCAGCCCTTTAAACACACACACACACACACACACACACACACACACACACACACACACAGCTCAGTTTGTATACATCCTTGCTTTTTAAATTGCTCTGCCTGGGAAAACGTTCACCTGAGGCCCAGCTGACTCTGATTTATGACTCCATCACTGGCTCTGGGTCAGTTTGCAATTAAACAAGACACTAATATAAAGTGTTGTTTATTTTGGGCCACATTAGCCTTTATTGCAGAGTGACAGTTTTAAAAGGGGAGACATGTGTAAATGGTCCCCGGCCGGATCTGACCCTGGGTCCTCCGCACAGGGACTGAGCCCCAGCACATGGGCTATACATCTATAACTTCTAATCTAGGCAGTGGCTCCGTCAGTAGGGGCTTGGACTGTGAGCCGTAGGGTCGCCGGTTCAAGTCCCCGAGCAGACCTAAATATGGAGTGTGGACTTCTACTGGGAGAGGTCCCAGTTCACCTCCTGCCCTGCCGTGGTGCCCTTGAGCAAGGCACCGGACACCCCCCTCACACAGGGCCACTTTTAGAAACATAGGCAAGGCAAGTTTATTTATATAGCACTTTTCTGTACGCGACAATTCAAAGTGCTTTACAAAACAAATTAAAAGACACATAGACACTTGTCTGATCTATGCACCACTTAATAACCTAAACTCATTACATCTGTGACGAGCCACGTGATGACTTACTACCGTCACAAATCGTAGTTATTTTTTACCTATTTAATAATCGTCCCTTTTGGAAACATTTACTCTCTTTGTCACATGTCCCGCTGGTTCTCTATGATTCAAGCTTCTCCATCCTTCCATTCCTCCATCATGAATAATTTGGTGCCACTCCATCTATCTGCTGCACGGCAGCTGTGGAGCTGGTCTGGCCTCTATTGTTGAGGCCGGCTGAATAATGGATGCCCCCCCTGCAACACTAGACCCCGGGCTGAACCGGAGATCAGGCAGCCTCCACACAGGTAGACAGGAGAGAGAAGGTGGGGGGGGGTTAGCGAGGTGACGGAGATCAGGTGGAAGGGTGCTAGCTGGATTTAGAGCTGGAGATAAACACAAGAGGTTTCTGTGCTGATTTATTATCGTGGCACTTTTTCTGTTCAAATTTGACATTGCTGCAGGAATGATCACACTGATCAGATGCTCATGAGGTTACTTCAAATCAGAAATACTTTATTTATCCCGGGGGAATGTAGGTACACCTACAGTAGCAAAAATGAATCGTACTGTGACCATTTCATTAAAGATGTAATATGTATATGTTTTGCATGATATAGAGTAAAAACGACTAAAACTAGAAATGCTATTGACACACCCTGTTTTTTTCCCAAAAATGTGAAACTTTGAGAAAGCTGTAATTGTATTCAAAGTAATGCACATTTCCTGTGCTTACCTGAAGTCAGATCCCTTTGTTGCGCATACATCAGCGGCATCAATTGGCTTTTCTAGAAGTTTCATTTAACAATGCAATTTTGTTTTTGGTATTTTCATTTATTTCATTCTTTTTGTGTAAGTATTATTTAAACATTCTGGCTGCAGTTCCCCACTAGCAGGTCACTGTGACATATACACTTGTTTCTGAACATTCTCTCTTCATCATGGCTGTGAGGAACCATGACACAGCTTACTGCAAACAGATGATCTGTAAGCTGGTTCCTCATGTTCCTGAGCAACCAGCTTACTAATGTAAACACCATGGTAAACGCTGTGACACATGTAAGCAGTGGGCAGAGTTGTACCTTTACTGAGTGAAAAACTAGAACCCACCTCAACCTCTGTTTTTATAAGATGTGATCTGTGTTTTATGAGATATCCGTATGACTCCGTAAACCAGATGTATTTTCGGACAACGTTAGCCACTTTTAGCACTTGACATAGATTTCACTATTGGAGTGTGTCCTAAAGAATCTTATTATTATTATTAATGTTCCTTTTTGTTGCAGAAAACTGATAACATGAGTGTTTTGTGTATCATGTTGTGTTGCAGGTTGTCGGGGGTGTCTCGGGTGGTGCAGGAGGCCCTGCTGACGGACGCATCAGAGGTGTACCTGAACACACTGATGGAGGAGCTCGGTCTGCAGAGGCAGGACCTGCTGGACCTAGTGCAGCTGTTTAAAGCCCCCGCACACTGACACACACACACACAACCAGACATGGACGTATTAATAACAAATACAGACTCAGGATCACCGACTGAATTATATCATTGTGGGTACCCTGCATTTACTATCATGTTTGTTTCCATAAAATAAAACCTGGTGATAATTACTTTTGTTACAAAAGCATATTATTTTACCATATCTACTTACTTCTGATCTAGGCTACAGCCACCAGCAGCGTTACAAGTATATTTACTTGAGTACTGTACTTAAGTACAGATGTGAGGTTCATTCTTGTCATGCCATTTTATTCTTCCACTCCACTATAATTCAGAGGGAAATATTCTGCTTTACCGCAGTACAATCATCGGACAGTTCAAGTTACTTTATAAATGAAGGTTTCTGCTCACCAAACAAACGGAGCTCAAGGAATGTGATTATTTTTATAAATCTAATTACTAACAAAGCACTTTTATACTAATAAAGGACTGGCTTATCTAAAGCCAGTGGAGTAGCACTTGAAATGTTTGGCTCTATGAAACCTGATGTACTTATATGATTCTGTTTTCTTCAAGGTTGTGTCTTCCTGGTCGAATGTACTTATTGTAAGTCGCTTTGGAAAAAAGCGTCAGCTAAATGCAATGTAATGTCATTTAAAAACAAGACAGCACTGCAATAAGACATTATTATATTGCCACATGGATTTTTTTCAGCAAGACTCGAGCGTGTATTCTGGTTTCCTTTTTCTCATAACACCTTCAGGGTTAGAAACTCCCTCAGGGATTTAGCATTTTCAGACTATTTACATGCACTAAAACCTATAGAACACACTAGGGAAACCCCAAAAAGCTAAATAGGGCCTCTTTAATTTTTAGAAACTAAACTACCCATCTGTAGATACAAGTAAATGACTGGACCGAAAATTAATAGTTTGGTGGTTGTTGCTTCTCACATTTAAATCTGCTTTTTTGTTTGTTTTTTACGGTGAAATCTGATCATTTTTGACAGCATTCACTTTTATTTGTTATTTTTTACAACCCAAACAATCAATAGAAGACAATAATTTGCAAATAAACGTATCATTTAAAAAAGCATTAGGAAGTAGTTTAAAATGATAGGAAGTAATGTGCAATTGCTAACAATAGCAGTATCCTGCTTTTTATATTAATACATTTTTATTAACCAAAGAATATAATAGAAAAGGTCACAGGGGCCTTTAGTGCATTTTAATTTCAGTACACTTTTATGATCACTTGCATACCTATACAGGATAAAGTTTCTGATTACCCCCCCTGCTGCTCTGCAGGCTGTTTTACTGTTGATTCTGTGCCGCAGCATTACCGTACAGCGTGTGCAAATCACATCCTTGAAGTTTTAGGGCTCTGGATGTTTAACCTCTGCAGAGCCAAATAAATCACACCCAGCTTTCCCCTTGAAAACACCATATGGACATTCTACTTATTGAGCCTGTGCTGTAATAAAAGTTTCTCAGACTTCCTCCACGTGGAACTTTATGACACTGTAATGACATTTGTTATATGGGTATGTTAACAATGTGTGTCTGAAGATATTTGGTTTGGAGCAGGTGCGCAGGCAGCAAAACGTTTTTCTATTCGACAGAGGAGATATAACTTTGTGCTGTCGTGCCGATTGGGGACGTGATTGATGGCCTGCTTAGATTAACACAGCTTCTCGTTTTTTACAACGTTCCTACAATCTGTGGATCGGGGAAAGGAGGATTCAAACCATTATTTAAAGATGTTATTGTCAAAACCTTAAAGATATCTACATGATGTACACTGAAGAAGGTGAAACATTGTCTTAATGTAAATGTGTTATGTCAACAGATTACACTAGGTTTGTTGAAAATAATATTAAGTTTAAATAAAAAACATTAGGTTCAACTTAATAGCATTGCTTTCAACTAGCCTAATACAATCATGTGTAATCTGTTGACATAATAAATGTAAATCAACGTTTCATTTTTTTCAGTGTGGGATATTGTCTTATCATTTGAAAACATGATAAATGTAGAAAGGCTTTTCGATTCCTATTTTCAAATAAAACTGAGCTCCAAAAATGTATGATTAATTCCTGGCATATCGGTTAAATAAAATGTGATCATTCTTTTTTTGAAACTATTAACAAAAAGAGCATTCTCCTCTTGAAGCAATGTGTACAGTCTAAAATGTTGTAACAACAAACAATAGAATAACAATAAAACAAGACCATATAAATAGTCAGAGTTCAGTAAGTGCTGAAGCATGGCAGCCTGCTCATTTGAGTCCGTGCTGCGTCTCCTTGTGCCTCCGCAGGTCCACCTTCCTCTGGAAACCCTTCCCGCACAGGTCGCAGCCGAACGGCTTGAAGCCGGTGTGCTTCCTGCTGTGCGTGATGAGGTTGGAGCTCTGACTGAAGGCCTTCCCGCACACCTGACACTTGTGCGGCTTCTCACCTGCAGCACAAACGAGATCACACAATTATAAATTGTCCACAAAGAGGCATTTTACGCGTTTTCGCACGAAGAGGCATTTAACACTTTTTGTGCATTTATTGTGTTCTTGCGGTGTTTACCTGTGTGGATGAATGTGTGTTTCTTCATGTCTGACTTTTGGTGGAACCTCTTCCCGCAGTACTGGCACGGATAAGGCCGCGTGTCAGAGTGGATGAGCAGGTGCGTGGACAGCGTGGAGGAGCGCTTGAAGCTTTTCCCGCAGATTTTACAGCTGAAGCTCCTCTCCTGTAAAAATAAAAATGCAACATGTCATTGTAGAAGGCTTTAAATACATAATATTTAAATGCAGAAAAACAGTAAAAACCGCAAATGTGTGCGGTTGTGTTGGGAATTACGCAATCTGGGCCCTTTACGCACGGGGTGTGGGCCTTAAAGTTAGCAGCTTTATCTCCAGTGAGAGGCCTACCTGAGAGTGAACCGCCCTGTGCTGATCCAGGCTCACTGCGTGTCCGAAGGTTTTCCCGCAGATTCCGCACTCAAACGGCCGCGTGCCGCTGTGTGACCGCCGCACGTGCACCTCTAACCCGTGGGGCGTGGAGAACGACTTTGGAAGAATAAAGTGATTTTTACTTCGACATTAAACTTAAAAACTTCCGAATGTATTCCGATCAAACACTTGTTATGTGTGGAATGACATCTTTAATACATTTTAATATACATTTGGCACAATGATAACCAATACAACACGACTAAAATCATTTTTAACATATCAACAATCTCAATAAATATTAAAATAATATGACTGATATGGTTTCGGGCCTACCTTGCAGCATTTCATGCATTTAAAGGATCCACTGGAATCGATGTTAGAGCAGACAAAATCATTTTCAGACTTGATTTCCGCGACGCGAGGTTTCTGCTTTACATCCAGCTCGTCCCCGTCCCGCATCCTGCACATCTGGCTGGCCGTTGAAGAAAAGTCCTGACAGCATTCGGACACCGGGCCCCGCTGTGCGTAAAGAGGCTCTGCGCCGCTGTCCTCTGCACGGTAGAGGCCACCCGGTGAGTGAAGCTCTCTATGGCGATGATATGGCCCCTGGACCAGATGCCTCAGCTCCGAGCCCGAGTACGCCGTCCAGGAGTAAGGAAAGACAGGGGAGTCGAAGGGGTTCCCGTCCTCAGCTGGAGTGCAGCATTTATCTGAATCTGGAGAATAATTTGGATTTAATGTGAGTGGACAATCTTATTGATTTGAGATTATGTGAAGGTCAAACAGTGTCTTGGATCATTTTCAAATGCATTTGGCCTCATTGGAAAAGGCTATAGGGGACATGCGTATTAGTAACTTCAGACAACAACAACAACAACAACAACAACAACAACAACAACAATGAAACCCTCAGGTCTCCGCGTCAAAATAACGTTGCACATTATCAACAACACTTTTGTGGGAAAAAAGTTATAATGATGACTGAAATATTTAACAATATATTTATAAGTTATGATTTATCACATGTTTTTATCTTGGTTCTGCTTTATGATCATCCAACATTACCAGGATATAAAGTTAACGGTGCTGAACATTTTCTAAAGATTGTACCCACTCATAACGCGGATATGGATTCATGACAACAAAAATGTCATTTTAAACTATCTTGTCCAAAAGACCCTCACAAGTCAAATAGGACAAACACAACTCTAACAAACAAATCTGAAAGACACATATGTACAGACCTGGTGAAGAGGACGGGGACGGGGGACACCAGTAATCACAGTCGGAGGATCGGTCACACACACTGCCTCCGCAGCTCAGCGGGGAGCTGGAGGACAGCGACCCCGGGGACAGCAGCCTGGCCCCGGCGGGCAGCCTGTGTGCGCCGCCGCTCACATCCTCCTGCGGCTCCAAGCTCGACTCAAACTCCGCCTGAGATTTGGTTTCTAGTGACAACAGAGGAGAGCAATGAAACTTAATAAAGGTTTGAAATGAAATGAATGCTATATTGATGAGGAAAACATATACATTCCACGGATCGCTCTTTCTGGCGTTATGCAATCATTTATGTGCGTAATTACGCACAAGTGAACGTACCTGCGCACACGTGTGCCAGAATCGTATCCAGCCTGTTGTAGTCATCATCCAGGTACCGAGGCTGGTGGTAGCTGTGGGCCCGTTTACTCTTCACCAGGAAAGACCTCGGCATGTTTACTCTCCTTCAGTGTTTGGTCTGCTGCGGCTCTGAAAATCCTCCACTTCACTTCACCCTCTCCACGCTGCTCTGAGTTTATCTCTGGACAGATTGCAACACTATTGGTTGACAGGCGAGACTGCGTTGGGATTTTTGGCCAGCTATTACGCATGCGCAGAGAGACTGTATCGTTTACCAGGTGTCGCAGGGCAGGTGGCCAAAAGCGCGACCACCGCCCCCCGAATGGTCCCTGTAGAGATGGGAACCAAGAGGACTTGTTGTAAGTCTTTATTCTAAGCTGACGAAGGCTGAATCGTAAAAGGAACTTTATAGAGATGTTTTATTATAGACTAAAACCAAACCTGGTTAATGTAAAGGGGAATAGTGTGATTCAATTAAAGGATAATCATTTCATGTATTATTATTATTATTATATTATTATTATTATTATTACAATGTAGAGTGTTTGTAAAAGGGAAAACCTATTTTTTTTAAACGACATTTCTTTACACGCAGAAATATGTTTTTCTAGCCTAATACAAATTGTTCGATTGGTGTCCAGTTGTTGAAAGTTATTTTCTAAAACTCAAGAAATTATTGTTTTTGAATTCAGTCACATATTTATATAGGCTAGCATTTTGACGGTAAATCTTTTTCAGCGACCCAAAAACAGCAAACAAACCAACGTGCAATAACTAAGTATCAAATCAGCAAAAAGATAAATAAAAAACCCAATAATAATACAATAATTAATAACTCCACCGTTTCTTCAAATTGGTTTTCCTGCATAGAAAAAGTGCGTGTATTATGTCAGTTGAAATTCATTTTATTTGAAACCGAGATTAAATGTGCTCGTTGGAATGTATTTTAAAAGCCGACTTGACAATACAATTTGGTAATTTAGTCTCATCAAGCCAGACCATTGCAACACGTGCCGGTAACATTCATTTGAGTGTTTTAGACCTTTAAACCTGGATCTGTGCGGGTAGAGAGGCTGTGATGGATAATGACCTGTTTGTTTGGCTGCTTGTAAAGTGATCCTGTTAAAGAGACGCGCGCGGGCGCTCCGCACACCAGCCTGCTGCTGGGGAGCCGGGTGTCCCTTTACAGACACACTGCTTCAGCCTGATTGTTTTACATCATTAAAACCCCCTCCCTATACTCAGGCGCAATTAGGCTGTCCACTGAAAGAAATGCAGGACTGGATACTTTAGTGTCAGGTGGAATATTGAGAACAAGATAATCTGAATCAACATAGAGTTTTCCAATCTGTCACAAATCATAGCGAAGATTTGGGCTGTGTTCAAGGTCAAAGCAAAGCGACAGGCTATCGATTTTTCTCCCATGTGGGAACAGGGTTTGTTTGGTGCAGCTGCAACAAGTGGCAGAGCTGCAAGCAGATAGCCGAGCCATAACGCTGAACACATGTCCCATACTCACTGTCTCCCAGCTCTGAGGACACACACTGCCCGGAACTCTGTCCACACAGACTGTCTATCTGCACAGGCTGCAGAGACACGCCACACACACACACACACACACACACGCACACACACGCACTTTCCATTCCCTCCCCCTCCCTCAGACATTAATTGTCATGTTATTCAGCCATGACATTCAAACACTGATTCATGTTTTTGATAAAGGAGCCCACTGGTTCTGTTATCTTTGGACATTTGCATTCTAAAAATAAATCACTTGATGCTTTTAAAACTGTTTTCTTTCATTATTACAAGCTAGATTTTTCAATATGACTCTCCATGTGGACTTCTAAATAAAAATGATGGATTTATTTTTCTGATAACTCACTCACACAATCATGCCAGCACTTAACTTTCATGAGAAAGCTTTATGAAATGTTTCACTGGCCGAAAAGGGTAAAAAATGAAAGAGAAATCACTCCATAAAGTTTGACATTACTGGGATTTTGAAGAATAATTCTTAGGTTTATTTAGCAGATAACAATCTTAAAGCTAAAGTCAAATTATCTCTACAATAAATGCCACATGTTATCCTACATCACATCTCATAAGAGACACACAAACATAATTAGATTCAAGAGTCAAGGCTTTATTGCAGTGTATATGAAAAACTTAAGTCCAAGGCTCCTCCAACAATGCAACATAAATATAGGATATAAAACCAATTGAACCAATACAAATAGTGAAATAAGTTACAATAGAAATAAAATAGTGCAGTATTAAATAAATGCTTTTCATTTTAAATATTATAACAGGTTACAAATCCAGCTGCTGATTGACAGCATTCTGATTCAATTCAATCATAAGCAGTGAGTTAGAGAAGGACAGTGTTTTTGACAGGTTTAAACTCAGAGTTACACACTGACTCAGAACAGGAAACCCAACGCAGAGTCGAAAAGACGCTATCAGTGTTGCCACAGCCTCTTGTGTCTGTATCCCCCCCCCCCCCCCCCCCCCCCCCCCCACCTCTTCCCCCGCAGGCCTTGATTCTCGCTCTTTCAGTTTTACAGCAAGTATGTGATTGAAATAGAAGCCCAATCGCAGTGATCACAGACAGAGGAAAGAAGGAGGGGGGGTTCTTGTGTTTTTGCTTTGCTTTTCGCAGCAGCTCTTGAGTACCTTAAGTAGCGGATCACCACCGGGGTGTTAAATAAAGACTTTTTGTGCTGTTGAGCCATTAAGGTTATTTTGTCAAGCTCAACTTTGGGCCCCTCTCTGCACCCGCACGAGGATAGAGAGAGACTGTGGACACTCCTCGTAGTTTTTAATATACCAGAGGCCGCAGCATTTATACCGCATGTGTGTGAATGTTGACAAGAGGAGCAGAGTTCGCCCAGCCTGTCAAAAGAAAACGCTGTCTTGATTTTGACCCTAATTTGTTTAAAAGGTGCACAGTTAAGATTTGAATTTAAAACACGCAAAAAATCAACATTAGGAACAGAATTTGAAGAGGTTACAGTTTTGACATAATGTTGAAACTGTCTTGGTGTTTTAGAGATATCTTCTGAAATTAGCATGCTAAGCAGTTAGCCCTGGCCTGTCTGATAATACCATATACCCTGCCAGTCTGCCCTCAGTTCAACAAAAGATGAAGAAGTAGAGAAGAAGTAGGGCCCGTGGATGCTTTCAACATTTCTTTTTTATTAAATCTGAAGTAGAAAACAAAAATGCGACTCGCTCACATGCCTTTTTTTCTCCCGCCGTCGGGAGGCTGTTCACCAGAAGTAGGACCTCCTTCAGTTAGCCGTTAGCTCAAATGCAGCAAGAGCAAACCCAGCACCGGGGGCCTGATTCAGGGGGACCGTTTGGACTTACTGTCAGATGAGTCAACTTTCTAATGTTAGCTCCAGTGCCCTTTATCATTTTCTTATTTATAAGATAGAACATTCATAAATGTAAAGACATTCCCACTGAACGGGCTAAGTGTCCTGGAGCTGCCAAGTGCTGCAAGTGTTGCAGGTCAACATTACTCCTATAAAATGACATTAGCTAACAAAAATGGCTATATGTGACAGTAAGGGATAATGAAACAGGTGCAAAAGTAAAGAAAGTGGCTCACTGGCTTCTGTTGCAGAACAGACAAAAGTTAGCTAACAGTTGCTAACATTAGCCTTCCTAAAGTAGGCTACTGGTCATAAAAGACCATAAAACTGTAGCAGGAAAAGTTATTGGTGTGTTTTAGTATCATGTACGATTGTTATTTTGTCTAACTTAATTTTTGAACATGGACCCAAACAACATAATGGAGTACTTAAGGGAGAAAAGCAACACAGGAAGTGTATGTTTGGAAGACATAACATGTCTGAGTTGAGTTGATTTATAAAACTGTTGCACAGATTGATTATATTTTTACTTGTACTCTTTTTGGCTGCATAATTGTGTTATTTCTTCTTTTTAAATTGACAAAGTCTCACTTCAAGTCAGACTGCTGACAAGTGAAACTTTAACAGATTTGGTTTTCATATGGTGTGTAAAGATTGGTGTGTAAAGATTCCTCTTGCCACATTTGTGCAGTTTATACTCCAGGATATTCAGACTGAAGAGCAATAATATATCAAACCAGTGATCATTTTTGTCTCATATTCTACATGCAATGTATTCATGCCGTGATAGCTTATTGTGGCTAAACTGACTTTCCCAGGCTCTGAGTGTGAGCGTTAACCTCTGAACCTCCCCTCCGCTGTGGCGTCTCAATGAAAACCACATCATGCTATCTCATCCCCTCACAGGTTCCTCTGGCTCCAGAACCCTAACCACAGTGTGACAACCCCCGCCCCTCCCTGTTTTCTTATAAACCATCTCCGTCCCTTTCCCTCCAGCTACAATCTGATTTTAGTCCTTTTTCCTTAGGTTCAACTGCAGGCAGCCCCCCTCTGCTGTCGGTGGCCGTCTGAATGTCATCGAGCTCTGCGCCCCAACTGCAGCCACCAGATAGGGACAGAGTGTGAACACAATGAATGATTTACTGGACGCTGCTGACCGCAAGACAGTTCTTGTTTCACACAGTAGCTCCACAAACGTCTTGTTTACCTCGCCTACACTCACTTTAAATCTTTAGGTCCAACAGAAGTCTTGTGTTCATTGATTTTGTTGTGTCAATTTACCTGAATTATTCTGATTCAACACTTACATCCTAAAACCTCAGCAAGGCTAGGCAACAGCAAAACCTTGAGAGTGGCAAACCCCGGAGAAACCCTCATGTTGCACTGAACGGATGCTTGGATTTGTGCTGTAGACACAAATCACCTCCCTCATCCATCACTGCGATCAGCGGCTCCACTTGTTTGCAAACAGCTTGTTTCTGGTTGTAAATGTATTTCCTAAATACTGAGCATTTCATCAGGGGACGTTGGTGTGTGGATGTGAAGAAACCTGTTCCGTGCTTCCTGGTCATTGTGTCTCTGTGCACGACTGGGGGGTGATGCGGCTGTTTGAAAGGTCAAAGTTCAACAGGCACAGTCAAGCCTGAATAAGCCTGCAGTTCATATGTGAGTTTGCATTGAGGTGTTGTTTATGTTCTTAATAACTGTGTAGCGTTGACACATGCTTTCAACTCGAGATATGTACCTAATCTTGGCTTTCAGAGAGAAACATTTCCTCCACTGTTCC